GCTTTGCTCTTAAGTGACCTCAGTTTAGTGGGTATGTGTCTTTTAAGAATTCATTTAATAGGTTTAAGATAATAACGAGCTGGTAATATTTACTCTTTGAGAAATTCTGTCTCAGGGACAACTTTGTACTATTAAAAATAAACTGATTTAGGCAGTATTTTAAAATAAACTATCCTCCCTCACTCTAGCCTGAGCAACAAAGCGAGACTCTGTCTCAAAAAAAAAAAAAAAAAAAAAAAAAATATTTTTTAAAATGAGAATTCTTTCCCTTTCTCCTCTGTAGTTTAAGAAAATACCACAACTCCACAAAATGACCCTTCCCTTCTACACATGTAAGAGCCTTCACCACATGCTGATCAGGGACCGGATCAAGCTGACCGACTGGCCCTCAGGCCCTGAGAGTGGCCGCAGACCCCTCTCCCTACCAGGAGCCCTTACATCTGTGTCTGCCCCACAGTGAAAGAGAGAGGGGTTGGCACCGAGGAGAAAGGAGCTGCAAGGACTAGGCAAGGGGAATGGGCAGGGCAGAGGCTGGGCAAAGGTACAACTGGGCGGGGTGCTCACTGGTCTAGAAAAGCCCAAGGTCAAAGGCTTCCCCACTGAGAAGAACACAATAGGTTCATCCCATTAAGTAAGCCACCTCCCACAGCTTGCATTATGAAAACAAGTTTAAGTGTGTGCTGCAGGGGAAGCCACGAAAAAGAGAAGGAAGCTTTCTGCAGACCTTGCTGGATTAGCAAAGGTCACTGCTTAAACCTCCACTGCCCAGTGTGGTAGCCACTAGCCACAGGGGCTATTAAGCACTTGAAAAGTGGCTCATCCGAGCTGAAGTGTGCTAATAACAAGTGTAACACCATAAAAATAAAAATATGTAATATGTATAAAATTATAATACAAAATAAGTATAAAATACACACTGTGTTTTAAAGACAATGCAAAACATTAATATTTTATAATACTTGTTGAAATAACACTTTGTAAATGTTAAAACATACTATCAAAATTAATTTCACCTATTTCTTTTTACTTTTTCCATTTTTTAATTTTCTGTAGAGATGGGATCTCACTATGTTGCCTAGGCTGGTCTTGAACTATTGGCCTCAAGTGATCCTTTTGCCTCAGCCTCCCAAGCTCTGGGATTACGGGCATGAGCCACTGCAACCAGCCTCTTTTTACCTTTTAAATGCAACTATCAGAAAATTTAATTACATATATGGCTTGCCTTTGTGGCTCACTTTACTTTTCTAATGGTCAGGGCAATATATGTAGTATTGTAACTCAATCATTTATCTCAGTAGTCTTTTTGCCATCGGTACCCTGAGTTCCGTCCTCAGCTGTGCTACCACTATGCTCATACAGAAATCCGGAAGTCAGTCACATGCCCAAGAGGGCAGCGGTTCTCCACCTACAAATGCAGCGGGCCGGGGACAGGAAGGAGAGATTTACACTAGAGCAGTAATTTCCAAACTTTCCAAAGACATTTTTGCAACACCCAAGTCACCATGGTCCTCATGTTTGCATACTGGTTGCCAAATAAATTTATCTTAACTGTTTATGGTGAAGAAAAATCAATATAAGACAAATGTCCAAAAGGAAATACTTATAATCTATAAATACACAAAAATCCCTATAAGTCCAGAAGAAAAAGATGAACACACCAAATGGAGGGAGGAAGATAAAGCCTGTGAACAGGCAATAAAAAATTTGAAAACATTCAACCACCACCTTAGTCTAATAAATACCAAATATATGTATCAATCTAACAACGGCAAATAAACTATATAACAGAATCGCAGGGATTGAAGACTGACCATGCTTAGTGCTGGTGAAGTTATGGAGAAATAGGCACTCTTTTCCTATGGTGGAGGAATGTGATTTGGTATCTGGAAGGCAGTCTAACTGCCTGTATCAAAAGTGTTTATAATATTAGACCTAGGAATTTTACTTCTAGAATCTATCTTAGGTTAACATGGCAATGCACACAGAAATTTATATTAGCAAAAATATTAAAAACCATCTAGCATTCAGAATTGGTACTTTGCATTGCATATAAAGCAAATATAGCACATTTTTAACAACTGAAATATAAGGGTAGGTATATTTTCAACTTTTCTGTTGAGAATTTATCATAAAAAGTTGGGGGGAAATTAGTTATATTTCACACATGTGTGCTAAAGGCAAAGTAGCTTTATCTTTGCTGTAGCAGGTTTCATGACCTGTACTGCCCATCTTCATTGTAGGACCCTCAGCAGAAAGCCCACTCCTGGGACCCAGCTGGTGTTCCCCCCTCCCAGCACACACCTGTGCAATCACTGCTGAGCGGCACGAGGCGCACACCTGGCCCGAATTAGCCAGTCAGCTGCTCACTAGCACCTGTGCTCTCTGCAGCCTGGTTTGCACAGAGGAACTGAGCCAATCTAATTTCCTCTCCAGAAAATTGGATGCTATAAATCAGTAGCCAGCACTATGCTCGAAAGAGTACAACGTTAACGACGTGCAAGATAAAGTCACAGGGGAGAGAAGAAAGTGAGCCAGGCAAGAAGGGGGCACCTACAGAGGAGACCAGTCTATGGAGAGGCGCAGAGATCAGACTACACGGCTGCACAACAGGGCAAGTTCCCTGCCTTTGTTTCCCACAGCTTTCTTGCCCCCAATACTACTTTACATCAGGCCCAAGTATAATTATCTTCCTGTCCTGAGCACCTGTGACATCTTATTAACTTTTTCTGAACTGATAGATACCTGGGGCCCATATAATGGGAGCCTGTGACAGGTAGTTTCAGGTCTTTCCCATTCTGATATGCCTTAAAGGTTCTAAACTCAAATCTCAATGGGTACTACAGAAGACTAATGCAAATGAACACACACGTATGCTGTTACACAGCAGCAAAGCAGCAGGGAAGTTAATAAATTGGTTCAATTCCAATTTTATGAATGCCACTTAACTTTGAATAAATCTCTGGATACATTTAAATAAGTAACAGCTACAGTTATTTACTGGGCTAAAGTTGAAGTAAAACTTTCTTATACTTGTGATCTAAGTCTACTATGGGAATTTTGCCCATAAGAACTATTAAATAATACTTAGGAAGGGCACATTTAGAGTTTAAGCTGACTCACGAGGCAACAGGAGCATCCTAAGGTTTGCTGGGTGTGTGTCTGTATGTGCAAAATTTCAAAGAAAGGTCATGCCTCAGAAAGTTTCTTATAAAAAAATGTACATAGTCACCCCAAACAAAATGTTTGCAATCTAACAAAAATGGAGACTCTAACTTATGGGATGCCTTGCTTGATGTAAAACAATACCCTACCAAGCCCTTCACACTGCACATCAGTAGAAAACATGCAACCTGTTACAAACACCCAACATCTGTCTACTAGGACTAGGCATGGTGGATATACAGCTGGTGACAATACAGTTCCTACCCTAAAAGAAAGGCCCCAGAAGCAGGATGTTCCCTGTGCTCCTTCCAAGGGGGAGAGAAGGGGCCATGCCAAGCACCAGGAACATGCACAACATGGGTCTCCTCCCAGACTGGTTCCTATTAATATTGGAAACAAGCTCAAGGCCTAACAGGTGGGTGGATAAACAACACAGCACGTGTATGAATACAGACCTCATGCTTCAGTGACTCAGAAACACGGTGTTATAGAAAGGTAAGGCTAAACAATGGAGGCCTGAGAACACTACTCAAATGCAAATTTATCTTCATGATACCTATTTCTACTCCCATTTCTAAAAGTTGGCATTACCAGATTTTCCCTCTCTTTGTGTTCCAGCAGCCTTGAACCCAACAAGGTTTTCTCTCCTTCCTTAATTCTCCAAAACCTACTCTTCCCTTTTCAAGACCACCATTCTGAAGGGACTCCCCCTGGATGCTCACGGAAAGCTAAGGGGCGCTGAGGAAGAGTGGCTTTTGGGAAAAGATCAACAGAAAAGAATTAAATCCAGACTTTCTAGCAAGTATGTTTAAGAGGAAATCTGGAAACTGATAAGAAAAGATGAACAGTATGTTCCTGAAATTGAAATATGTTTTGGTCTGCTAAAACCCAAGAATGAAATTCAACCATGTTTTAGTAAATTAATTTACATTCCTCACCCCCTATTTGTTAAGTGGATATTCCCTGGAATGGTTTGTAGGGCTAGGAAAGAGGGAGAGAGAGGAAAGAAGAGCAGGAAGAATGAAAGGAAGAAACCAGCATGATCCAGCAGCAGAGCTGGGTGTTTGCCAGGTGTCAGGGGTAAGGGACAGGACTTTCATAACCAGAAAATACAGAAACAAGCCGAAGCCCCAAGTAATTCCTGTGATCCTTAAAGTTAGCTCAACCCCCTTCTAACTCCTTGTCGCCTCCGTCAAGGGATCAGGGGTAAACCAACTGCCAATAGCAAACAGCTACTCCCAGGAGACTGAACCACCCTCAGCTGGACAGCAGCACAACCAAACTCAATGTGCTTAACACTTACTAGTTGCACGTGGAACACTATTCCAAGGCATGATGGAAGATGTACAAACTGGAGTCTAGCCCTTGACCCTCGATAACTAAAATGCACGACAAGCATAAATAGGCAACCGGTGCACAGTGTACTTTTTTTATATTCCTTCACGATTCAGCCACAGGCACCCACAGGCCCAGAAAGGGCAAAGGTACAGTTAATTTCAGTCGTGTGGGAGCAAAAGCAAGCTGACAATGAGCATCCTGAGGCCTTCCTTGCATAGCTGGAGAGGAAAAACGCTGACACTGGGACTGGTCTCTCGACAGGGAGCGGTCGGACCTAGACCTCCATGGCATAAAGGGACACAAAGTCGCCACCAAAAAAGTGCTTGCAATTATCAATAGCAAATATTTACACGTTGACAGATTGCTAACCAATGTAAACATACATATAAATGCCCTTTTTAAAAAAAATGAAAATAGCAAGAGTTGTAAAAGTGGGGGAGGACTGGGAGCACAAAGCAGAGATCAATTTGGAGGGGATTTAGGCTGTTAAGGCAACACACCTGGCAAGCTCCTTGGCTCCATCGCTCCCCCTCTGGCAACGCCGCCTCGCCCTCGCGTTAGGAATGCCTGCCTGTCCGCCGGCACCTGCGGTGTCTCGGGCGAGGGTGACACCCTCGCGACAGGAACGCCTCACGCGTGCATCCGGATCCTCCCTGCTGGGCTAGCCCCGTCTCTGTCCCTAAATGTGACGTTGGTAAACTGCCTACCCTCAGTTTTCTCATTTGTAAAACGGGAGTAAGAACACACTCTCGTAGGACTGTTGTCAGAATTAGTTGCTACGGAAAGCCTGGCGAGCCTCCGCGGACTGGGTGCTGGGCCCCGCACCGTTCCGCAGACGCCGCCAGCTTTGGGGCCTCGGGCAAGCCAGCCCGAGGGAATCCAACGGCACCCTACGGTGTGCTGGGCCTGCCCGCCGCCGCCGCTCCCGGCGCTTCTCCGGCCCAGCCAGCTCCGTGCGGAGGGCTGCAAGGGCGGAGGGGCGCTCGGCGGGCGGGAGGCCGGCGCGAGCCACGCCACCCCACCCGCTCCCGGGGACGGCGGCCTGGGCGCCCACCCCGAGGGCCCTCCGCGCGTCAGGCCCGGCGTCTCCCCGGGGTCCAGTGGCGACAGCGCGGCGGCTCGGAGGCCTTTACCTGCCCACGATCACCACCCCGCCGGGCGCCGAGGATGCCATGGCCGGGTCTGGTCGGGGTCGGGAAGCGCACTAGAGCGAAGCCCCCGGCGCGGGCCGGCCTCTTTTGGGCGCCGCGCTGGGGGCGGGCCCCGCGCCCATTGGCCCCGCGCCGGGAGGGGGCGCTCGGCCGCGGTGGGCGGCGCCGCGGTGGAGCCACTGCCGGGACGCCCGCGCGGGCCGGCTGGCAGCCGCGCAGGCTCGGCGGGAGGACCGGGCGCTCTCACCCGCCCGAGTCACTGTTTGGTTTCTTCAGTTTGTGGCCGCGCCCCGCAAAATTGGGGTACACAGAAGGGGACTATGGCCAGGCTGGCGCCAGGCGCGACCGCCGGGGCTCCCCCGAGAAACCCCACGAGAATTTCCCTCAGGCGGTGCCGGCGTCTCCTCAGCGGCCCCGGCGCGGCGGCGGCGGCGTCTACACGGCCAGCTCGTTCCCGGGAGGACGACCGGCCGCCTCGCCTCACAGAGGGGGACGAGGCGCGGCGCTCGGGGACCGCAGACGAGGAAAACGCCAGACGTATTGATCGGTGACACGGAAGGTCGCGTCTGAATTCCCGCGCGGGTGCTCCGGCGACAGTGCGGACGCACTTCCTCCTCGCTCAGGCGGGCTGGCGCCTGCGAGAGGGAAGGACGCGCCCGGTGCGGGACTCCTGGCCCGCGGGAGCCGGGGACAGACGGGCGCCCGGGGGACAGGGCGTGGCACATCGCAGGACCGGAGTCCGCGCCCACACGGCGCGCGCTGAAGGGGAAATAGCGCGGGTTTCCACTGTCCCCAAAGGATCTGCAGAGTCAGTGCTTTCCCACAGGCGTCCACTCATGAAAATCTGGAAGTTCTGAGATGTACATGGACACGTAATGACTTAGAATGTGGGAGACTTACTCGAAAGCCGCGGTTATTAAGATAGCCTGGCAGAAGAGGGAATCCAGAAATAGACCTATGCATCATGCATACTTGTCAATTGGTTTCAATAAATATGCCAAAGTGACTCAGTGGAGAAAGTGCAATATTTTGAAGAAAGGGTGTTAGACAACTGAATATCCATATGCAAAAATTAACTCAGAATCCGTGTTCGACCCACATATAAGACCTGAAACCCCAGTGCCCAGATCCTGGTCTCTAACGGCATTCTCCACTAGCAGGAACCGGGATTCCTTCAAGAATTGGTCGAACCCGTGTTTGGAGCAGGAAGGGTACAGGCTGCCCTGGGACATTTGTGTTCCCAGAGGCAAGAAACCTTGCAAAGATTAATGTCAGAACATAATAGAGACTTAGGAATTGGCCTACAGTGAGGAGATTCACTTGAGGTATCTGGCCAAATGCTTTGCTCTTAAGTGACCTCAGTTTAGTGGTATGTGTCTTTTAAGAATTCATTATATAAAGGTTTAAGATAATAACGAGCTGGTAATATTTACTCTTTGAGAAATTCTGTCTCAGGGACAACTTTGTGACTATTAAAAATAAACTGATTTAGGCAGTATTTTAAAATGAAAACTTCCTCGCCGGGCGCGGTGGCTCACGCCTGTAATCCTAGCACTCTGGGAGGCTGAGGCGGGTGGATTGCTCGAGGTCAGGAGTTCAAAACCAGCCTGAGCAAGAGCGAGACCCCGTCTCTACTATAAATAGAAAGAAATTAATTGGCCAATATATATATAGAAAAATTAGCCTGGCATGGTGGCGCATGCCTGTAGTCTCAGCTAACTCGGGAGGCTGAGGCAGGAGGATGGCTTGAGCCCAGGAGTTTGAGGTTGCTGTGAGCTAGGCTGCCGCCACGGCACTCACTCTAGCCTGGGCAACAAAGCGAGACTCTGTGTCAAAAAATAAATAAATAAATAAATAAAAAAAAAAATATATATATAAAATATAATAAATAAAATATACAAATAAAAAAATAAAATATAAAAATATAAAATATAAAAAATAATATAAAATAAAATAACTTCCTAATTTCTTGCATACTTTTAGAATATCTAAGAAACTTTAAAATCACTTTAAAATCACTTTAAAACTTTAAAATCATATTTATAGGATTTATTTACTATTTGGGCAAGTTTTATTAAGTTAGAGCAGTTGAAATAACAAGAAGTCAAATATGGTATATTTATAAGTGCAGTTTTAAAATGCTGTGAAAATATTTAATGACCTTAGTAAATTCAAATGCCCTTTGAAAGTATTGTTAAATTTTGATGTACTTTGAAAAAGAACATAAGATTTTTTTCCAGTGACCTTTGAAATCTAAGAGAGATTTGATATTATAACTTTAATTTATTGAATATTAATCATTTAAATAAAAAACTCCTGAATCATATTTTCTGTATGCTAAAAAGCCCAAAATCCTATCAATGGTGGAAAACTAGGATACTTCCAGAACATGGAGCCTCAAGCCCTGACACTGCCTTTGAGATAAGATATAAATAGCTATAAACTCCTTGATCACAATGTGCTGGAAGTAAAAGGAAGGGCGGCTTGCAGCCACGCCCCGCCTGAAGGAAGCAGAGCTGAGCAGAGAAGGCCAAGTCAGAGTCAGGACCTTATAGGCAGGTGCAGACCTGGACTGGAGTCCAGGCTGCTCCCCACCTTCAGGCAGTCAGGGTGAGGTCCATGGCCCAGCATATCATCAGCCTCAGAACCCGAACCTGGGATTGGAGCCCAAGAGGAAGAGCTGAAGAAATTAGCTACCAACTGTGCCCTCCAAGGCACTGTTGGTGGTGAGGACAAAGGCCTGGGTACAGTGGAGTTCCAGGTGAAATGAACTGTTACCGAAGCCATTGGTCTGGCTCTGCGTGAGTCTGGGCCTGGTCCTCCGACTGGGTCTGCAGCCTGTACGAGCCTCTGTCTGTGAATAACTTGCATAGGCTTTTGCAAGGTGTCAAGAAGGCTTGTGTGAGGGGCCTGAGGTGTGGGGTGGGCACCAGGACTCAGCTTTGTCACCATGCTCCTCCCTGACTCCTCCTCTGGCAGGCAGAAGCTGACAGAAGGGTATTCGTGGGCGGAGGGCACCACGCAGCTGAGCTTTGTGCCACATAACGAAACTTGAACAAGGGGGAACTTGGGGAGGGGAATGTGCCTTCCAGTTGGTGCAAGCGGGCATTGCTTTGGGCCCGGAGGGCTTCTGGGGATCATGAACGCTTTGATATTGGTGGAACTTTTTTTTTTTTTTTTTTGAGACAGAGTCTTGCTTTGTTGTCCAGGCTAGAGTGAGTGCCGTGGCGGCAGCCTAGCTCACAGCAACCTCAAACTCCTGGGCTCAAGCGATCCTTCTGCCTCAGCCTCCCGAGTAGCTGGGACTACAGGCATGCGCCACCATGCCCGGCTAATTTTTTATATATATATCAGTTGGCCAATTAATTTCTTTCTATTTATAGTAGAGACGGGGTCTCGCTCTTGCTCAGGCTGGTTTTGAACTCCTGACCTTGAGCAATCCGCCCGCCTCCGCCTCCCAGAGAGCTAGGATTACAGGCGTGAGCCACCGCGCCGGGCCTGGTGGAACTTTTTGACCTGCAGATTTATTTTTTACAATTGCGAATTTGCATACTTTTAGAGACAGATCCATCGGCTGGTTATCAACACTGTCAAACTAGTATGTGGCAGGAGGGGACAGTAAGGGGCTCTCTCACACCCCCAAGGGGCAGACAGACGTCAAGGAGGGGTTTCAGAAGAGAAGCCAGGTGTCTTACTGTGGGTCACGGCAAGAGCCAGTGAAACTTGAGTCCTTCCTATTCACAGTCACATTTGTACCCGCAGTTCCATGAGGCTCAGGGAAGCTTGAATTACAATAATAATTCACACCAGAGTCATGCTTCTACTGTAGGAAGTAATTTCGCCTCACTAACTCTTTAATTCGCAGGATCTTTTGTTGTTTTCATTTTACAGATGGGAAAACAGGAGGCTCAAAGAGGGCAATTGAACAACTTTCATCTATTTAGCACGCAGCCATTAAATATTTTGGGGGCACTTCTTATGTTCCAGTCACTATTCTAAGTCGGCCCCGTCCAAGAGAACTTTCTGCAGTAGTGGAAATGTTCGACATGGGAACAGGCCAATATGGTAGCCACCAGCCACATATGGTTATTGGCTCTTGAAATACAGCTGAAGTGGCTGAGGAAATCAACTTTTACTCTATTTAACTAATTGGAATTCTAATAGCCACACGTATCTAATGGCTACCCTTTTAGATAGCTCAGTTCTAGGCATTGGGATACAACCTCTGGTCTCATGAAAATTACACTCTAGTGCAAGACAGAAACTAAATAAATGGCATAGTATGTAAGGAAATAGAAATTCAGGTCATGACGAGTGTTATATAGAAAATAACGCAGGTCACAGGGGTTGAGGCCTCCCCTAGCCGAGGTTTTGAATGCTCAAATAGCTGTGCACGCCAATACAGCAAAGCCAAATCCTATGTCCTCCTCACCACTAATCATCTAAAACTTCCTCTTCCTTTAAATAGCCCAGCCCCACTTCCTCTCTGAAGCTGTGACTACTCCCCCCTTGAGGGCTGCTTTCTTCTCTGAGCTCCTCATGCACTTGCTGTCAGTGCCGCAGCACTCAAATTCCCTTATTCATTCACTCAGGTTTCTTTTTTCTTTTTTTATTGTGCCAGTCACTATGTTAAGAAATGCTTAATGTTTAGTCTTTAAGAAAATTGTAAACTTCTTAAGGTTAAGGCCCATGCCTCCTTTTCCCTTACCAAGCACATAACGGATATACTCTTTAGATTGATGATACTTCTGAAAGCCGTCTTCT